CAACCCTACCAGCTACTGTATAATGGCATATTGGCAGCGTTTTGGTATAAAGGGGGTTCACAGGAGGAAACCGTCAGTTCTCCTCCAGACTTCATCCCCATCATAGGGTGAGCCAGAAGGTGAGTGATGGATCCTCCCTGCATTCACGTCCACCACCAACACACTTCCTAGCTGACATGACGCTCCATCTGCTGCCAACAAAAACCTTCTTTCTTTTTCTTTATTCTTTTTTTTTTTTTGGCGGGCGGAAAACAGCAGCTAGGTTTATACCACAATCAAAGAACTTCTTTTCTGCAGGCCAGTGCCTCTGGGCGCATCTCTGCTCCCCTCAGGACACTGGCTTGTGCATCATTTCCTGGGCATTACGCTGCTGTACGTTATGCAGAAGTTAGGCTGTCGTTGGACAGAAGTTCTGGACTCGTTATGAATGCTCTATGTTTACGCCCAGAATAGAAAGAATCCATAGAGAGTTCAGCATATGGCAGCGTTTTAGGAGATTCTGGGACGTCAGGCAGACGCTGGATAAATCAGCACGGTGTGAGAGGAGCTTTTGGTTAGGAAATATAAGCAGTGAGCGAAATGGCCTAGTCAAAGTTCAGAGTATTGATTCAGGTCTTGTGGCATCTGTGGGAGAACCAGGAAGCTTTAGGGGACCTTTAGTTTTCAAAGCAGGTTGGTTTGAATTAGGGATGAAAAAATGTATCAGAAATAATCGTCAACTAACTTAATAATCGATAAATTATTAACTGGAGAATAGAGACTGTAAAACCTGCCTTTAGCTGACAGAGCGACCATCTTAGAGCAGGAATTATACCAAGATTGTAAAAGAATATGTAAACATTTTGCATTTGAAAAAAAAAAAAAAAAGTTTTCTTCTAATCGACAGTTGCAGCCCTCGTTCAAATAGACTAAAAAGTGAAATTAGGGTTTAATTAAACCTTAACTTATTCATGTTTTCTTCATCTATATATAAATGCTTTGATGTTCAGAAACAGTGTTAAAAAATAATTTTTCTGTTTTTATTGAACTCCAGACACTTTAGAAAAGCAGCAAGCTGGACTCTTAAACCCAGAGGAGGGTAGAAACTCTGAGGAGACGAACCCTGATGGGAAACCTTTCAGGAATCACTGCACAACCTTAGAAGCTCGGAGCTGAAACCACAGGCAGGGGGCTGGCAGAGCGCCATATTGCCATGGCACCCCCCCCCTCCACTGCCCGCTAAGCTGAATGACAGGTGGCAGAAACCTGATCAACATGATCCTCCAAGAAGAAAGGCGTCCCATCTGAAGCCGGCAGGCTGCCTGCGCCCCCGAACAGCAGCGCCACGCCATGCATGCTTCACATGCTGAACAGTGCGTCTGAGTGTCAGTAAAAGCACTGCAGGGTTGGTGAGGAGGGGCGTAATGGATATTTTGGATGAGGTGTTGAGCTCTGGCACTGGAGCAGAGCGTCCTGGTCAGCAGACCTCACCGCTTCCACTGATCTCAGCACCTCCCTTTTAGCACTAACCCACAGAACATTTGGCTTTACTACACCTGACCTGCATGACAGCATGAGATAAAGACCCGCCGAGCAAAGAGCAGGACCCTCACATCTCCTGTTCTATTCTATACAAACTCTGAACCAGGACCCACTGAAGGAGCCACCACTCGCTGCTGCTGTTGTTCATTAACAGCAAAATAGGAAAGTTGAGCTGTGTTAAATAGCTTTCTGAGCAATCTCTCTGGGGCTGAGATGGAGGGGGGTGTACGTTAGGAAAACGAGGAAGTGGGGGTCTCCAACCAGGAGATTTAATTAGTGAAATCTCATTAAGTTTAACAAAATTAAGCGTAAAACAATCCGTGGCAGGGAGCGATGGTTGAGAGGAAGAGTGGGGAACACAGAGAGGACAAGGAGGCAAGCTGGGAGATTATTTGGGAAGGAATTCAGGAAAACACAAAAGGCTTCGTCTACGAGGCCATTTCTGAAGCTCCAACTACTCACTGATGCAAACAGCTGAACACGTTACGAGTCCAGAGGAGAACAGTCTGACTTTAAAAGCCCTGCAGAGGAGGAGGTGCTTCCCAGCAGAGAGTCTGAAGCAGTAATTCTTCAGGAATGTCATGAGGCCATTAATGACATCTTTAAGGCTTTTCTAATACACACCATGCAATCCTTGGTGGGACGTCAGGTTACATGTCTGAACATTGTAAGTTCACCGTTCACTACTAAAACACTCAGACGGTCGCCAGATCAGAGAAGTCCATCTGAGTCGCTGCAGGAACAGCAGACGTCATGGCAACCAGTGAGGCCAAAGAGACCAACTCTGAACGCAGGTTTACTGAGAGTCTGAGGCAACCAATGACCTTTATGTCAGCCTGCTGGATTAAAATTAAAGATCGTCCCAAAGATTTACCCATAATCTCAATAATAAACGGTCCAATCAGAAATGGAACAGTTCAATCAAACATCAATGCCCTCATTAGGGTGACCAGACGTCCTCTTTATCCCGGATAAGTCCTACTTTTCATACCTAAAAAAAAACATCTGGGGGGGATTTCTAAATCTTCCGGGACTTTGGTCGACTACAATGCAACAGAACCGAGCCGTCAGCTCTGGGGCAGCTCTGGGGCTGGTCCGGAAACTCCGGCGGGGGGAGTTATTTGGGTTTATTATGGGTTTATGACAAGATGCAACCTTTTTCTTCTGGGATCAATTACATTTTTTTTTTACTGAATTGATTCTGAATCAAAGAGGTCATGCTGCTATAGGCTTAGACTGCTGGAGGACATAGGGACCCCTTTTTCATCATTCTGCTTCATTCTATCTTTATTCTCCCACTCTGCAGAATCTGTTAGTTCAATCTCTAACGTTCTGCTCTCTCTGCTTTTTCTCATAGTAGCTTCATCTTGTCTGGAGACACCATTCTGTAGAGAAATATCAGCTGTGCTGCTGCCATCAACACCTGTGTTTATAGATGTTCCGCCTGTTTTTCAGTGTAGTCCTGTTTCTCTGACTGTGACAGTTCGCAAAATTTTGTACTTCAGAGGGGGAAA